AGGTCTCAACTTGTCGACCAATGTCTCGATCGCCGTCTGGATCGCATCGAGATCTTGATCAAAAAGGTCGTTTGTATCAAAAGCGCCAGCTACGAAGCCGGCTTCCTTCAACAGCCTGAGCAGGTTCTTCACCGCCATCAGCTTGTTGTCCGTCACTCGGGGGGCTGAGATCGGGCCCTTCGGGTCGTCGATCTGCTCTGGCCGCACGATCACCATGACAGGATCGTGACGTAAGAAGTCTGGCAGTTCCTTCAAGTGACACTGTCGATCCAGGTCAGCCTCGGACCAGTCGAGCGCCGACGGTCTGGGATCTTTGTCGTCCAGGCCTGACGCTCTCAGCTTCTTCCGCACCATCTGGGCCTTGTCCACGATCGCGTCCAGGTAGTCCGGATCGAGCCTGATCGGTGAGTCAGCGAACGCGTATCGGTCCGATCCCGCCTTAGTTTATTTTATTAGTGAATCTCGGTTCACACAAGATCCACTGGGGTCCCCGAAGGGACCTGGGGAGGATGTTGAGGTTTGTCTTCTAGATCTGTCTCCAGATCGCCCTCGACTCCGTCGACAGAAGTCCTCCGATCACTCTGTCGATCCGCGGATCTCGTTTTGTTCAGCAGCGTCTTCGTCGATCCGATATCCGACGACGCCTCTTCCCCTGGTTCTTTCTTCACTTGCACATATTCTACGGACTCACGGTGAAATCCGGAGTCCCCAAGAGATCCGGGCACGCGCACCATTGTGGTGTAGCGGGATCGGACAAAATCTGGTTGAGGCCTGATCAAGCTTCCCACCAGCGCCCAGACACCGACCAACGGAGGGGTCCCCCAACGATCCGTGATCGGCTGAACTTGTTCTCGCCTTGTGTACCCGTCGGCGGGCTGGATCTGCTCTCTCGGGGCTCCGAAGATGCCGCACTTGGTGAAGATCGAATGTCTTGGCGTGACGCGGGGATAGTTTGTGGAGCAGCGCGGTAGTCTTCGCTCTGCGTCCGAGTATACGCTCCGATCGAGGGTTCTTCGCTGCGATCGGTCGGCCTGGAGTTGATCCAAGGCCTGTAGTTGCCTTTCCGGGTGTGTTCCTTCCTTTCAGTTGCTTGCCGCTTCCTATAGCGGGGTCGAGATTGATCGAGAGGAAAAACGATCGCCGGCCAAGTACTATCCAGTCGATCGAGGACTTGCGCACGAGAGAAAGATCACTAGAGCAGGTCAAGCTGGCCAATGTATTAATCCAGTCTTAACCGTACCGCTAGTTCACTACCCGAAGTGTCAACGCTTGCCGAGGCCAATGTAGTTCCTGGGACTTGGTGACTTGAGGGGACTTGTGGTCTTTGGTGCAAATTTTCTTTTTGAGAAGGAATCGCAGGGACTCGGCAGCCTTGGATCACGCGTGGGGCCAATCAGAACCCCCACGACGTACGCTGGTCGAGGCCAATATGTGCTTCCTCCCCACGTTTCTAGGCCACTTGCGTTCTACCGCGCAAATTCGCTTCTCATTTATGTTTAGCTGGTGTCTCTCTACCGCTACCATCTCATCTACCATCCTACAACTAAACAACTACTGGACTCTTGTCCTGCCTTCGTCCTCCATGTGCATCCCATCGTGGTCGACCCCCGATCCACGATCGGCCCCGATCGGCGATCGACTCCTGATCCACGATCGATCTCGATCGGCGATCGGCGATCAACTCTTGTGCCGGTTGCCGTGCGCAGCCGACCCATCACCTTCCGCCCTCGGCCGTCCTAGATCTGCGAGATCTGTCGTCGATAGGGGCATGGGTCGCCACGGTTCGAGCACGATCATCCACAATCCGGGTTGCCACATGTCCTGCCTTACGCGCCGGCGTCATCGGACCACTTAAGTACTCCCTCTGATCCGTAAATCCTCGCTGCCTATCTCTCGATCGCTGATCTCCCATACTTCCAGTCGATCGGTCCTGCCGCCTTTCTCGGAGAACAATTCTTATTCAGCACTTCTCCACACTTCACAGCACGCGGCAAGAAGTGTTTACACTTCTTGGGAGTCAACTTTCGATGTCGACTACGGACCATCCGCAGACGGACGGGCAGACCGAGCGCGTGAACCACGTCCTCGTAGACGTGCTTAAGACACTCGTTCCAACACTGGAGCGAGTGCGGAGTTCGCCATCAACAACTCAGTGCATGCCTCGACCGGGCATACGCCGTTCTACGTGAATACCATAAGGCACCCACGCCTCCCGAGTCTACTCGGAACGGTGGATCCTTCCTTAAGTGGGGGAGGATCTACGACTGCAACGCAGCAGCCGCAGAATGCCGCTGACACTTGCACAGTGTTAGCCGCGACTACGCGCAAGAAGAACACGAAGCACGCGTCTGTGCAGGGCGCAGACGCCGACAAGAGCAAGAAGAAGAAGAAGAACGGGTCTGTGCAGGGCACAGACACCGCGATGACGAACGCAGATGCCGGGCCTACTGATAGAAACGAGCTGAACGCGTTCAGCTCGGACGCAATCAACTTCGTGCAGCACAGACAAGCCGTCATTCAGTTTTTCCAAGACGCTATTGCAGCTTCTGTCGACCGACAGAAACTGAACGTAGGCAACGTTGGCAGGGGCAACACAAATTAATTCAAGAAGGGTTCATTGGTCTTGTTAGCTACACAAAACCTGCCTAAACATGCCGTTTCCGACTTCGGGGCGAGCAAGCTCGCTCCGCGCTTCATCGGGCCGTTCACAGTGTTATGGCAACGCTTATACGCTAGACATTCCATCTAGCATGCGCCTCCTTCCGACATTTTACGTCGGGCGGCTCTAGCCATACCGGCGGCACGATCCACCTAGCTCGGCTGGCCCGAAGCGGAAGCTCGATTCAGCTCCAGCGGTGAACGCGCTGGGTCAAACGCGCGACGCGACCCTCAACGTCGACGGAGATGTCCGACGTGGTCTACGAACCCTGAGCGACTTGAGCCCTCAGGATCGCAATCTCCTGCTTCAGAGCGGCGAACTCGCGGCTCTGATGCTGCTCCACTGCAGCGACCCGCTCCTCGAGAGTCGGCCGGCCAAGGTCAACCCCAGGTTGACCATACCCGGGGCATGTTCCCACCACCGCCGCCTCCGATCCGCGACGCCCACGGCTCAACACGCTGGATTGTTGAGCGTATTGTGAACCATAGTATCCCGAAAACGAACCGGCATCCGATTCGTTATCGTATTCGTTGGAGAGGGTTTCCGCTTCACCAAGATACATGGGAGCCGCGGGAAGTCCTGCGGCAGGCCGTTCCGGAAATGGTGAGGGCGTACGAAGCTCACCACGCACTACCGGCGCGAAGGTAGTGCGAGCACTGTAGTCACCTGCAGTGCCCGAAGTCCCACGATCGTCGCGTTCCTCGCGTGCCAGGAACTTGGTACGGAGATCCTTGAGACTCGCAGTTACGAATCGTCGTGTACCCGTTTAGGTCGCGGTCGCTCAAGCGCGCCGCACCCGGAAGACACAACGTGCACTGTTGGCCTTCGGGCACAGCGCATGGAATACCAGCGTCCACAGAGGATCCGTGGAGCTGCTCCAGCCTCCCGCGCGTCGAGAATGTCTCAAAGCGTTCACGGGCATGCTTAACCCGCTCGCGGTAAGCAGCCGGTTTCTTGTTGAAGTTCTCAACAAAAGCATTCCAACTTTGACAAAGTGCCTGCCACTCAGGCACTTTGCTGCGAGAAGAGGTCTTCTTGCTGGAGAAGTACCGGAGCTCGTGGAAGAGCCCGATGTAATAATCGCGCCTTTGATTCGTTAACGGATCAAAGTGCTGCTCCTCCGCCACAGCATCATCGTGGATGCCGCTGCATACGTACAGCGGGATTTCATTTGAAGGCACGGTGTTGCCCACACGGTCTGCGATCTCTGATGCAGACGGCATCCACGGATCGCGCGCTGCCTGAGCAGCGCGCGGAGAGCTTGAAGTCGCCACTTCACACGGGGAGCCTAAAGCCCCAGCAGCATAGAGAGTGGAGTGTCGCTCTCGCCGCGCGAACGTTTCGAACTCGAAGCGTCCGAGTCGTCTCCTTCACGAGGGCGTCTCGACCCGCATGCCGTATCGCTGTCGATAGAATCCTTGCGCTTGCTTGAAGAGGACTCGCCCTCTTCCATCTCCACGTCACCGTCCCCGTAGTCAACGGCGTCGTTGACTACAGAGGAACCTTCGAGGACAATCTCCGGCTGGGTTGTCCCCGCCGCAGCCTTAGCAGCAAGAGCGTCACGCTTTGCTTCATGACGCTCGAAGTACTCGGGGCCAGAGAGAGTCTCTGCCCCGTCGGAGGTCTTCCCCTCTGCTGCAGCGGCGGTCTTCTTCGGCGAGCTCATTGCGGAATGAGCTTGAGTTTTCTTTCTCCCAACGTGAAGAATTGATGAGTGGTCAATTTCCTGATTGACGTGCCGTGATTCGGCGCGTCTAACCTTGAGGGGGATGGTGTAACAGGGTTACACGCACAGTGGCTACAGTCACTTGTAACTCTAACAGACGTCGAGTCTGTTAGAGGTTCGAAAGACTTTCTCGACCTTGGTGTAGACACACCAAAGGCTACATACATTTACGATCACCACGACGGGTGGTCCATAGAGACTTAGGATTCCTATTGGCTGAAAGCAGCATCTCTTAGCCAATGAGCGATATGCATAGCATTGGAATTCTGCCAACCAGCCGTTGGCAGATTCCTAACTTAGAATATTGCATTTATAGGAAATCAGAAAGCATAAAACAAAAATAGCAGTTCTCATTTTAACCCAAAACATTAGTTGGATCGTTTATTTAGATTAATCAATACTCGGAGGCCCGAGTATAATTAACTCTAGTTTAAACTGAGCTACGCTTCTTCACACACGTGCGCACACGTGTAAGCTAAAGTAGTGAGCCAAAGTAGGCCCATTACATCTGTACCTATGTATGGCACTTCAATAAATTTTTAGCCAATCAAATTGTGCCTTGATACCGCAGAATCCATCTCACGTTTTCGCAAGTCTGCAATTTTTACAGTATGGTGCGATTTTTTCTGCGATACGGATGCAATAAATCTGCACAAGACTAATAACACTTTTAAAGTGTAAATTTAAAAAATGTTTGACTTCCACCAATTGTTTATCGTCGATAAACTATTGGTGTAAATTATCGAGCACACCGTATTTTGATACATGGCCTTAGCTGTCTAAAAGGCGTTGTCTAAAAACTACTTCAGTTGATTCAACTTCGAAGTCAAAGTTAATTTTGAAGTCGTTTGTTAGCGGGAGCATATCAAGCAGCTGATGCGATTAGAAATCTCTGCCCATAGCAAATACGGCGTCACTAAAGACGCGAGATCCTCCACCCCTGCGATATGCTGAAAATGTCGATTTTTTCCCTTGTGGTTTTATAAATACAAGAAAAAGGTCTTGGTCAGCTGCATGGTGATCTGGATATATGATAGCGATTCATTTCTGCCAGCCGTTATACCCGACCGTGAAGGAAAATGTTTATATCTGACCTCTGGTGTATCAATTTATAAAATATATATACTAGTATATGGGCCGCAGCTTTCGATCTGGAAACAATAGGTGTAGTCTAGAGCTAATTACACTTACTTCACACGTAGTATCTACAGTATCGAATATATGTCATGTAGTTGTTCAACCTCATGCAAACAGAGAAGTTGTGTGAAAACTGCCATTGAATCCGTATATTTTTTACCTCGTCATATTTTTCTGTCTTGTTACTAATAATGTTTGAATAACCGAAGGTTTGCTCGGTCTGTCTACGTTGTGCGTATGTTTAATAAAATGCATTCAGAAATTTTTATGTATGCGAAGGACGCGGTAACGCGCAGAGTCCACGCAGCACAGTTGTGAAAACTTTCACCTTCGCCACCTGAATGAAAACTTCGAAAGCTTTTGAGTGTCAACACTCCTCCGATAAACGCCGCAGCAAAAACAATGTGATGCATACCGCAGTGTTTGGAAAAAATCTCTTGCTCTATCCGCCGTACAATTTTTTTTCTTGCAATGCTCTACTGCGGACGGCGCCGCAATACCAATTCTCAATTGCAGAGACGCCAACGATTGCAATTTTAACTGCGACCGCAACACTTACTGCAATCTAGTATTGCCTGCTCAACGCATGCTGCTGTCTAGAGTGACGATTCCAAAATGAAGAATTTCTGTTATTCGGCAAACGGCAAGCTTATCCTCGATGATCTCTCCGTTGGCCTCTCCCAAATTAGCTATATTAAAGCCATTTTTAACCCGAGCATTTGCTTAGAAGCCCCAGCTCGGGTGGCAAAACCTTATTGCAATTCACGATTGCAGCACGACCGATACTGCAGTAGCCGATTGCAGCATGAGTAACGACTGCAGTAGGAACTGCAGTGTTGATTGCGTCTGCCAATCGCCGCCAATTCATTTTTTCCAAACACTGCCATACCGCAGTAACAAGGTCAGCTTCAAAAACCTTGTTCAGATGCTTCGTAGTCTTTCAATCAGTCGGTTCGGGAAAGCTGTCCAAGTGTCAGTCCGATGGCAAGTGTTTTCTCAGCAGATGTCTTCACTAAGTACGATTAGTTTCCGAAATTACGGTATTTTATCGCCAGCCATTTTCCAGCAAAGAAGAAGAAGTGCGCAATGCATTTTGACGGCGCGGACGAGGACTTCGAGCCGCGTAAAAGACGTCGCTGTCGCACGTCCAAGAAGAAGCGGCTGAGGTTGAAACAGCGCACGAGTCTCGAGCCGAACGAGCAGCAGCCCGAAAGGCACCAGAGCGAAAATAACCAGCAGCTCGCGGACAAGACGCGAGAACAGAGTGAAACCCAAGAAACGGAACCGTCTCAAGCTCCAGATACCCAAGAGAGCAAGCCACAAAGACAGCAAGAGCACCCTGAACCAGTTGAAGATAAACCTGAACACGAACATGGCGATGGCGATAACAATGACGATGACGATGGCGATGACGAGGAGATGACGGAGTACGAGCGCAAACGCCGCACTAATATTCTGCGCAACCAAGCGTGGATGCAACAACTTGGCTTCTCTGCTGCCAAGCTTGCCGTTCGCACGGCCATCGGCACTGAGGCTACAAAATCGACGACAAAGCGACCGAATACTACAGAGAGACAAACCCATCGAGCTGCCGAGCAGCCGCCGCAACCACTGCGAAAGTCCAAGCGAGTACGAAGAGCGACGGAAGTAATGAATGTGGCGCGGCAACCCACGCGGAGTTATCATCGCCAGAAAACGAACGTGGCATCAAAAAGATTTTTTTATCATGAGGAGAGCGAAAGTGAGCTGAGCAGTTATGAAGGTGACAGTACGGAGGAGGAGGACGGCGAAAGTACAGAAGAAGAGGAAATGGAGGAGGCTTCCGATGAGAGCGGTACGGAGGAAGACGAGATGGACGAGCCCACGCACGGGTCGGAGGAGGGTGACTCCCGTCCTGAAGAACATGCGCCATCGACTGAGCCGCCTACCGAGCCGCTGGTGGAACCGAAGGCGCAGCCCTTCAATGATCAACCCGCAGAACCGCAAGACGTGGACTCGCCCGATAACAAACCACGAGCTGAGGCAAATCAAGCTGAAACTAAACAGCCCTGGACCGGCAGTGCACTTCAGAACGGTGAGTCTCACAGCAGCAGCGCGAATCAAGCAAGCAAACGTGACATTCTCGATGATACAAAAAATAACTCGGCGTTGGGGGAATTGGCAGACGTTGAACGCAAACGCCGCGAAAACGTTTTGCGCAATCAGGCGTTCATGCAGCAGGTTGGTGTGTCTATTACCAAGCTTGCTGCTCATACATCAATCGGCGACGAGGCTGGAAAGGAGGCCAGGAGACAGGAGCTTGCAGCTAAGCGGGCGTTGAAAGCCGCTCAAAGGGCAAAGCTTTCGAGCCAGCCAGTACGCAAATCGCGGCGCCAAGCGGGGGAAGAGGCCATTCTCGGCCACCAGCCAGCATTGAACTACTCGTTGGAATTACTTTCGATGAGAACGAAAGGCAACAGCGCCGTTCACCTCATGGATGCCGTGGATAATGATGGTAAAACATTCTTGAAAAATGTGGCTAGCTCCTCCAAGATACCGAGCGCGTTCGAGATTGATTCAGTCGATGATGAGGTGGAGTATTCTTTGGCAAAAAATGATGCTGTCAAGGTCGTGCCATTTCGCACTACCTCTATGGCTTTCCTTCCGCGTGCAGACCGTATTTTCCTAGCGTGTGGGGACAAAGAGGGCCACATCGGGTTTTGGTCACCCTCTGAAAGAGTCAACGACACGACTGGTAGCAACACGCCGTCGCCTGCAGCGCTATGCCGGCCACACGGGTTTACTGTGAGCCAAATTGTCTTTCCCGACTTGTCGACGATGCTTTCTAGCAGCTTTCATGGCATTGTCCGCGAGTTTGATCTACACACCGCAGAATCCTTATTAGTATGTGATATCAATGCTGAAGCTGGAATCTCGTCGCTTATTACATCGAGCCCACAAGCCTTCTACGCCGGGTGTTCTGACGGCAAAATGCGGCTAGTCGATCGTCGCGCGCGGGGTATGCAGCGTTATGAGCTGCATGAAGGAAGCATCAACTCGCTGGACCGACATCCAACTCTCACCTAGTACGTACTGCGTTGTGAACTTGGTGCCGTGCAGTCAGCTAACCCGTGTTAATTTTGTGTGCACAGCTGCATTGCAACTGCATCGAGCGATCGCACCGTGTGCTTGTGGGATACGCGCAGACTCTCGTCGCACATGAGCATACCGCTGACCACGATCCCCCACGCAACCATCGTCGACTGTGCACACTTCTCTCCGCATGATGGTAACTGGCTGGTCTCCGTGACGGGTGAAGATTCGCACATCAACATGATCGACACGTCAATCCTCACGAAGCGCAACGAGTCCGATCCGTTGCCAATTCCGCTTCCAAGTCCGATTCGCATTTATCACAAAGGTTTCCCGTTCTACGATACAGGATACACGCGCGTAGCCTGGGATCCCAAGCGGAGGAACCGCTTTATAATCGGGTGTGTGGGGGCGCCGCCACGGATAAAAATATTTAGAGCGCATCGACCCGCTCGCGAACTGAGAAGCGCCACTTTCACGGGGAAGACCTTCGTCAACGTTTTCCACCCGTACGTGGACGTCATCGCGAGCGGCGGCGCCAGTGGGCGTATCTCGCTATGGCGTGGCAACGCAAAAGAAAAATAAATAAATAAAACAATGTGCTGGACAGTAACGAAATCAACTTCAGCAACTTCAAAAACCTTGTTCAAATGCTGCGTTGTTATCAGCTATCAGTCTTTTGACTTATTCAGTCAAGTGTCCTGTTTTCCCAGCAACTGTCCTCCCTAAGTACGAATATTTCCGAATTTACGGTAATTTATCGCCAGCCATTTCCCAGCGAAGAAGAAAAGTGCACAATGCATTCTGTTTCTGACGGCTACGAACATGAAGAGGAGGAGGAGACGACGGAGTATGAGCGTAGACGCCGTGCCAATATCTTACGCAACCAGGCGTATCTAGAGCAGGTCGGCTTCTCCAGCGCGAAGCTCGCCGTTCGCACAGCCATCTGCGATGAAGCTACAAAGGAGGCAGCGGAGGAAGTTAAACGACAGAAAACAGAAGAGAGACGAGCTGTGCGAGCTACCCAGCTTGCCGTTAAAGAGGACCAGCCAGTGCGGAAGTCGCGCAGAATACAAAGGGCGACGGAGGAACGGGAGATGGAGGAAACGAACAGGCGTGCGGCAAGGAGAGCTCAGCTGCAATCATTGCGGAGATTTGCGGACAATGCTCGCAGTAGGCGGCTTCGCCAGCGAAACTCGCGGAAGTTAGCCAGTATGCGACTTCAGGAGAAGAACCACAGCAGTGATGAAGACCAAGGCGAGGTGGTTGGCTTGATGAGTGACAGCAGCACGGAAGCAGGGGATATGAAGTCCTCGGAGGGTCCTAGTGTTACGAAGGTGAAAGCGTCAACGCACGAGCTGGGAGGAGATGACGCGCTCCTGGAGGCTCAAGCGCAACCGCTCGTAGAATCTAAGACCCAGTCTTGCAAGGATCCACCTGCAGACTCGCAACAAATGGAGATGCCCGACTTTGAACGCCAACGCCGCGCAAATATCTTGCGCAACCAGGCGTTCATGCAGCAGGTCGGTGTGTCTATCGCCAAGCTTGCCGCTCGTACGTCAATTGGTGACGAAGCTGGGAAGGAAGCAAAAAGACGAGAACTTGCAGCCAAGCGAGAGCTGATGGCAGCTCGCAAGAGAGAGCTTTCGAACCGACCAGTACGCAAATCGCGGCGAACGTCCCCAGGAAAAGTGGTTCTTGGTCACCCCAGTGCGTTCGACTACTCGCTGCAGTTGCTGTCAATGAGAGAGCATGAGCGTAACAGGAGCAAAGTTCACTATATGGATGTTATTGATGACGATGGGCAAGCATTTTTGAAAGAAATGGCCAGCAACCCCAAGAAGCCGAGTGGTTTGGAGATGAACTCGATCGATGCCGAGGTGGAATATTCGCTGGCAACAGACGATATGATCAAGGCGTTGCCGTTTCGGATGACCTCAATGGCTTTCCTCCCGCGAGCCGACCGTATCCTCGTTGCGTGTGGGGACAAAGTTGGACACGTATCGCTTTGTTCGCCCTCGGAAAGTGAGAATGCACTTTCATCCACGGTGTTCTGCCGACCGCACGCGTTTCCCGTCAGCGAGTTGATCTTCCCCAACTCGTCAACGTTGATTTCCAGCAGTGTTGAAGGCACTGTCCGTGAACTTGATCTGCACACTACAAAGTCATCGCTCTTATGCGATATTAAGGACGACACTGGAATTTCGTCACTAATTGCGTCGAGCAACCCGCAGTTCTACTACGCTGGTTGTATTAACGGCACAATGCGCCTCATCGATCGTCGCGCTGGAAGTCTGCATGGGTTGAGCTACGAGCTGCACGAAAGAAGAATCAACACGCTGGACCAGCATCCCAGCCTCGACTAGTAAGTTGTACTGTGCAGTATCTGTATTTTTTGGGGAGTAGTGCTCTAGCTAACCTCAGTGTTTTATGTGTGTGTAGCTGTTTGGTAACTGCATCGGGCGACCACACTGTGTGTCTCTGGGATAAGCGCAGAATCTCTTCGCACATGAGCGTACCGCTCGCGACGATCCCGCACGCAACCAGCGTTGACTGCGCCCACTTCTCCCCACGTGATGGCAACTGGCTCGTGACGGTGACAAACCACGAGTCGCACCTGAACATGTTCGACACGTCGGTCCTCACGAACCACAAGCAGTCCGATCCACTGCCGATCCCGATTCCGACTCCAGCCCGAGCTTACCACAAAGGTTTCTCCGAGCAAGACGCGACGTATATGCACGCCGCCTGGGACCCCAAGAAGACGGATCGGTTCGTGATTGGGTGCGTTGGCTCCCCTTCGAGTATCAAGATCTTCAGTGCCCACCGGCCCTCTCGTGAGCTCACAAGCGCCAACTTGACTGTATCGCACCCCGTCAACATTTTCCACCCGTATTTGGACCTCATCGCGAGCGGCAGCATGTGCGGGCGTATCTCGCTATGGCGTGGCAACGCAAAAGCAAAATAAATCCACTTGATACATTGCACTTGTGCGATGAGAGTGAAGTGAAGTGAAGTTCAGATGGTAAGCTTTGCTGTCTTGTGTTTCCAATCAATCGCAGCAAAAAGTACGAACCTACGTAACGGCATACTTAACAGCAGCTCCTCCCCACACAACCTCTGTTTGAGACAACCTCCTAACCACCATATTTTAACTTCCGGCGGGTAATTTACGAACTCGGTAACCGTTGGCGCCAACAGCTCAGTCAAGTCAAGAGCTCACTTATCGCCGACGTGTCGTTCCTCTCCATGCGCCGCACTCGCTCCAGCGCGTTGGCCGAGGCCGTGGCGCCCCCGCAGCGTCTCCGCTCTCTGCGCTCGTCCTCCCGGAACCCGCCGCTGTCCCCTCCCCCGGTCGCGTCACTGCGTCGGTCCCTTCGCTCCAGCGCAGTGACCGTCAAACTGGAACCGAAAATTCAGGAACCGAAGCAAGAAAAACAAGAAATTCAAAGTGACATTAAAGTTAAAGAAGAAGAAGAGGACGATAAAGAAGAAGATGGAGAAGGAGAAGAAGAAGATGATGATGAAGACAGTGAAGAGCAGGACTCGGGCCTCACCGAGTACGAACGCAAGCGTCGCGAGAATATCCAGCGCAACTTGGCCTTCATGCAGCAGATGGGGGTCTCCACGGCCAAAATCGCCGCCAGGACGGCTGTAGGCGACGATCCCGCTCAGGAGAAGAAGAAGCAGCAGCTGGCCATTAAGAGGGCCCTCCAGGCTGCCAGAAGAGCCGAGCTCTTGGCCCAACCAGTTCGCAAGTCGAGACGTCTGGAGGGCAAGAAGGTTGAGGTGGAGCCCATTGAGCGTATCGACCTGTATGAGATGGGGGACAAGCTGCCAGCTCATCGGCAGCCAAGAGGCAGCCATCTGCACGTGATGGACGCGGTGGATGGAGAGAGCAAGGCGTTCCTGGGAGGCATCACGGCGGACCTGGAAGAGGACGAGGAGCTGGAGGAAGACACCATCTTGGACGACGACGACGGAGTGGAGTATACTCTGGCAGATGACGACATCACCAAGGCCGTGCAGGAGAGGATCTACTCTGTTGCCTTCCTGCCTCGGGCGGACCGCGTGGTCGTGGCCTGTGGAGACAAAATGGGTCACGTGGCACTCTGGACGCCTCCGAACGAGTCGAGTATGAAGCAGGAGAGCTTGGCGGCCCCGCTGGCGATCTACAGACCGCACTACACCCCCGTGAGTCAGCTCATCTTCCCTGACTCGTCAAAGCTGGTATCGAGCAGTTTCGACGGAACTGTACGCGAGTTCGACCTCCGAGCGGCCGAGTCGTCGGTCGTGTACGATACCAGTGACAATGCAGGGATCTCGTCGCTCGTTGCTGCGGGCACTGCGCAGTGCTATTACGCGAGCTGCGACGACGGAACGGTTCGACTGATTGACCGCCGCGCGCGAAAGGTGCAAACATCCGTGTATGAACTGCACGAGAAGAAGATCAACACTGTGTCCCAACACCCGAGCCTCGACTTGTAAGTTTTCGCTATGGAGATTGCTCATGATTCTACAGTTAACTAACTCTATTTGGTGGTTGTGTTGTCTGTCTACAGCTGCATTGCGACTGCCTCGCTGGACCGCACCGTGTGTTTGTGGGACGCGCGCAAGATGTCGAAGACGAAGAACACGCCGCTGGTCACATTGCCGCACCACCGCAGTATCAACTGCGCGTACTTCTCTCCTCGTGATGGCGCTTGGCTGGTGACGGTGGGCCAGGATTCTTACATCGACATGTTCGACACATCGAGTCTTACGGAACGTAAACCCTCGGACAAGTCTGCGGTCACGCTGCCTGACTCGGTCCGCGTCCGACACAACAATTTGACGGGTCGATGGCTCACGAAGCTGCACGCGGCGTGGGACCCCAAGCGGCCAAACCAGTTCGTCATCGGATGCATGGAGCAGCCACGAAGGATCCAGATCTTCCGCGCTGGCCGCCGCCGTCCAGTGCGCGAGCTCAAGAGCGACAACTTTGCGTCAGTGCACTCCATCAACGCGTTCCACCCTCATCTCGAGTTGATCGCAGGTGGCAACTCGTCTGGTCGACTTGCACTTTGGCGCGGCAAGAAGACCGACAAAGCTGAGGTCAAGACCGAGACCAGAAGTAGAACTCGGGTGAAGGAGTGATCAGCCTAACGGTAAAGCACCCCTAGCTAGGACCAGCATTGAACACAATTTAACAATACCATACCCTCCTCATCACTTTCAAACTCTTGCATTCATATTGCTCTGTCGTTTACGAGTATCTTCCTACGGTGTTTCAGTGCTGTCGTCTTGGCGATTTAGTTGCCGCCGTTCTGCTCCTTTGCGAGTGATTTCTCGTACATTCCTACAGCAGCAGACACCATGAGAGCAAAGTTAGTGACGATTTACCGGTTGGGATGCACCATAGGTGGCCATACCTTTTCTTCGCAGCTCTGTGTGTTTCGTTTGAACCGCATCAAAGTGAGCAAGCAGCGCATCGGCATCGATACGTGGAACACCTGATGTTGAGGACGCCGGATCGTCGTTGCTTGACGTGCTGGATGGCGCTTCTCCGGTCTTGCGAGCCCGCCGTGAGTCGCCATTCAAGTCTATACGGCCAATGGCCGTGGCCATACTCGTCACGCTCGCAAGGCGATCCCGTAGCACACGGAACGCGGCGCTCTGTGGCAACAGCATCAGCAATCCATACAGGCTTTTGACCAAATCTGTGTGGTAGTCCTCCTGGATCTCGAGAAGCTGTAGCCGCATGTGAATGAAGATCGGTGACTCCAGCAGCTGGACGAGCTTGTCGATCTGCATGAGGAACCCCACGGACGCATCGATGTCCGCGAACTTGCTGATAAGCGCTGCCGATAACGAGTAGGACTGGGCGAGCAGACAGAGACTGAAAGCCGCGATTGGGTTATGACACCACGAACGGAAGAGCGCCGTGAACACTTGAACGTCGTCTTCAGACGCGCGTGGCTGGAAGCTGCGGCGCAAAATGTCGCGGAGGTGCTCCAGCTCGTTAGCGGTTAGCAAAATCAGGTTGAGGGTCTGCACCATAACGGCAGCGAACTCACTGTCGGCTTGACTATCCAGATAGACAGCTTCGGTCCCCAGAACCTTGGCAAAAATGAGGTAGATGCTCTTCGAGTCCAAGAGCACGCACAATTTACGCACGATCATGCTTCCTCGCATCTCCAGTAAGCGTCGGTCTTGAGCGAACAGCAGAAGAATCGAGTTCAGCACCTTCTCGAACTCGACTTTGTTGAGCGAGATGCGCGCGAGCACTTCAAGATCCAGCAGCACCACGCTGTCCGAGATGTCCGACAGAGTCCGAAGCAAGGCCGGCAGCAGCTGACCAATATGCGCCGACAGTTGGTTCGGGTACTTCTCCAGCAGCATCGAGATCCACCGCAGCGCAGCCATCCGCGTTGGCACGTGGTCGCTACTCAGCTCGGACGTGAGCTTCTGCATGAGTGGCAGCAACTCCACGTCCTCCGTCGTCGACTTGACGAGCTGCAACAAGTCGTCGTTCGCGCGCTCCGCCACCTGCCGAATCTCGTGCTCAGCGTCCGAGATGCAGTGCATGATGGCCGCCAGCAGGTCAGCGTAGAACTCCACGAGCTTCTCGCGTCCGAGGTTCACGAACTCCTGCACCCAGCTCACCGCCGTCAGCCTGTTGAACCTCTCCTTGCTGTTGCACTGTCCCACGAGAATGTCCACCATGCGTCCGAACTCCACGTCGTCCGTCTGCTTGATCTCCCTCAGGAACTCCGCCAGCGCGCTGTCCGCAGCCTGCCGGATCTCTCGATTGCCGTCACTCAGCATGTTAAACAGTCCGTCCAGGAACTCGGGCAGCCAGTCCAGCATGTCAATGTCGGGCACCGAGTCTAGCACCGTGATCCAGCCGACGAGCAGTTGGCGGATGTACGGGTTGGTCATCCTAATGTACTTGTGCAGCAAGGGGATAAACATGTCCACGTCGAAGTACTCGCTCTCGGTGACAATGTCCTTCACCAGTCTGTCCAGCAGGTTGGCTCCGTTCTTCACGTCCACGTCCACATCCGCGAAGAGCTTGCACAGTCCGTCGAAGATCTGGTTAAAGTACTGCAAAATATGGCCCCGCGCCACCTTGGCGATGTTGTACAGCGACTCGCACGCGTAGTAGCGCACGCGACTCTCCGGGTCGTCGAAGCAGTGCAGCACGGGCGGCAGCAGCTTGTCCAGGTACAGGTGCGCGTCGTGCATGAGGCCGATGGCCGTGGCCGCCAGCCCGATGAGCCCGCCCTTGCGGTGGTTGGCGTTGGACGAGCAGGCGAAGTCGTTGCCCAGCAGCTCGATGATGGCCGGGATGCGCTGGCGGCTCGGGTTGGAGGCGGCCCCGAGGGGCGCGCCCGTGTCCACGCTGCGCTCGCTCTCGGTGCCCGACGCGCCCACGTCCGAGTTGAGTCTCGAACTGGGCGAGTCCTGCGCGTGGATCAGCTGCAGCTGGTGCTGCTGGTGGAACTCGATGGAGGCCGCGTTCTCCTGCAGCTGCTTGATGAGGTTCTCCAGCTCCATGGCCGCGCCCTTGCGCTTGTCGTACGACCGGTCGCCCAGGTTGCGCATGAGGTTGGGCGACAGCGGCAGCTGCACAGGGAAGCCCGACGCGTCGGGCGAGTCGCCCCCGCCCAGGCCGAAGGGCATCGCCGCTGCTGCAGCCGCCGCCGCCTGCGTCAGCGCCGACTGCGGCAGCATGGGCGACGGATCCGTCGGGTAGCTGGAGCTGCTCATGGTCCTTGAACAGGATGGTTTTCTGCAATGAAGGTGGAAGAGGGGAGAGATGGGTACATTGGTGTGGAGGACAAAGAAGTGGAGTTGGTGGGGTGGACCACGTAAAGGCAAGTTGAAGTGGTGGTTGAAATGAAGATCGTTTGTCAAGTGCTGCTGCCACGCTCGTGATCGCCGGCTACTTACTAATAGGCACTATAAGGTTACCGGCAGTCCGTGGTCCGGTAACCCCGCGCAACCCACCGCTGCTAATGACAACGGCATCAGACGGAGTCGCCGCCAGAAGCACCACTGCGCTGATGAACACTCCGAAAGCACCAATCTTCATCTTGAGTTTTTTGCTTGAATCAGGGAGGTGAAGTAATAGACGCTGGATCTAGCGAAGCAGAAGGGAGGGCAGGCTGGTATGAACTATCGTAGCTCGTTCGTTACCAACGGGCATCGGAGAAAGCAGCATGGCGGTTAGCTTCTTGGAGCCCAGCAGTAATTGCCTGCAGATTCAAATGCACCCATTGCGGGTGGGTGGGATTCTCGGTTAGAAGACGAAGACTCGTGAGCCGTGAAGCCTCAAACATCGTGTGTGTAGGGGGGGTATGCAGTGCGGTGACCTCACCCACAAGGGGTCTCAATTTACACTGCGAAATCAGGAACTTGGGGAAACACAGTAAGCTGTAACAAAACTTCCGCGATGTTTTGTTGGTATAGTCTGTACTTCAAATGCAACGCATATTGCAGCTGTTTGTGGTCGGCATTGCTATTAAGCCGAAAAGTGCACAGCCTGAATGTGTTGTTCAAGTTTCCAGACTCGGGAATCCCGAGCCAGCCAATCGTTCCACACATAAACAACAAACTTACCGACCCGGCTAGCAGGGACCGAAAGGAGTTTCCTGTGTGCCTTGAGTGCGTATTGGGTGTGTTGGAAACAGGAGAGACGCCATGTGAGAAGGACCTTGAACCCCTTCAACCAGGCCGAAGGAAAAGTCAACCATTCCCCAAATCCAAATGTACGTAGATAACCGTACGAATAAATCACACTTTTGGTTTGTTAAAGGAATGAGCTAGCTCTCTTTTTGTCTGGAGAAGAGAGATCTCGTAAAACGCTCTCGAATTCGAACCCAACAGAACCCAGCGCACCCATGTCGTGCTCAACTCGGACAGGCAAGAAACGGCCACCTCTGTACGAGTTTATACATCGCTAATGGAATGCTACTCAGCGAGCCTACCGCGTGCCTTGGAAACGAACGGCAACGGACTCGCGCTCGGCCCCGGGCGGTAGTCGCTCTCCCTCTCATCCATTCTCCAATTTCCCTTGATCTGCAGAAATCGCATTTCAAGCCGAATCGACCCAGCGTTCGCCTCTTGCCTTTCCAGAAACCTCTCTCAAGCACCAGCTCAAGATGAAGATCGGTTCCATCGCAGTCATTCTTAGTGTGGCGGTGCTTCTGGCGGCAACTCCATCGTGCGCACTCGGACCGAAGAAAAAACATCCTACCGGTGTGATTAGGCACGGAGAAGGCTTGCAAGGCGACAAGAGGATTCTCGTTGAGGAACCTGTTCACGTGGTGGACGACGGCGCTGTGGTGACAGCAGCAAGAAAGGGCAAGAAGGAAAGAATTCTCAAGAGAAGCAACTAAACGCTGAGCTGCTGACCGTCGTCATTGTGGCTACTAGTATAAACAGCAATTGCAGCATACACACACGGGCAGCCAACCAACTACTGTACTGTAGTAAAAAACAATAATCGCACATTCTTAGTTTGATGACAGTGGTTTGATATTATCTTGAACTTGGTCGCACTAAAATAGCTTTGGTGCACCATTTGCCTTGTTAAGTCGCTCTGTGTACAGGGATCAGCGTGCGTGGAACGCTGCTTCGCTCGTGGTCGGCCTACTTTCCGCCACTAGCGGCTCGGGGCTCCTCGTAATCTTCGTCCTCTTCCTCATCTACCTCCGACCCGTTGGCAGAGGTTGGCGACAGGAACAAGTGGATCCGAGATTGACCACGCAGCTCATCCTGGCGCTCGCTGTGTGCTTCCAGGTAAGCTTCACTTCCCATCTGGACAACCAACCACAAGTGACTATTAGGATTTACTCAAACATAGTCGAGAGCAGCAGTTTAGTACGAACCTCCATCAAGCGAGAAACCGTGCGATCGAACGCAAAGACCTCGTCAACATGCGACTTCATGCCAACATCGACTTGATACAGTCGCTCGGGGCTTTCCGGTGCCAGGCAGTGTAACTAGCGACCGCATATCACAGTAACTGTCAGCTCTCCAAAACAAATCTAGGAAACTGTAAATCAAATCCAAGAAAAACTTACCCGCACTCCCTTGTCGTACATGCAGTCGACGAATGTGATGAATCGCCGCATCTGATTGAGTCGCTCAGCGTTGAGCATGGGAATGTCGCTCACGAACACGACGGAGAAGGCTTCGGCAATGGCCAGGTAGTCCGCTGCTCCCAGCGGTTTATCGCACAAGTCACGGAACGAGAAGCGGCAGCAGCCGGCCTCCACGGCAGCCTCTGGCACGTGCACCTGGCGTCCTTGCGTCGTCACGTACGTCTCCACCGTCTCCTCTCCTTGGCAGTACTTCATAAATTCATAGTCGAACGCAGCACGCGTGTCCGGAGTAATAGGGTACTCGTACACATTGTCAGCGTGCACAGCGCCCTTCAGCACGCGGTAGTCCGTGGTCGAGTCCTCGAGCGACACGACATTGCACCGCTCTCCCAGCAGGTCGATAAACGGCACGAAGAGCTCTCTCTGCAGTCCGTTCTTGTACAGATCGCAGGGCGCTCTGTTGGACGTGGCGACCATAACGAAGCCTCTCGCCAGCAGCGCCGAGAAGAGCCTTCTCAGGATGAGCGCGTCCGCCACGTCCGTGACCTGGAACTCGTCGAAGCACAGCAGCCAGCTGTCCTCCAGCAGCTTGTCGGCGATGTGCGGGATCGGGTCCTCGTGGAAGCCCTGGCGCCGCAGCTCGTGCATCTGCTTGTGGATGTCCAGCATGAACTCGTGGAAGTGCACGCGCAGCTTGCGCTCCACGGGCACGTTGTCGAAGAACATGTCCATCACGAACGTCTTGCCGCAGCCCACGCCGCCGTAGAGGTACAGGCCCTTGGGCGCGTCGGCCACCGCCGGCTGCTGGGGCTTGTCCTCCTTGCCCGTGAGCTTCTGCCACCACGAGCCGGAGCTCGCGCTGGCCGCCGGCCGCGGCTTGGGGCCTCCGTAGCTCACGAGCTCGTCGTACAGCGCGTCCAGGTGGTGCACGGCGCGCACCTGCACCGGGTCGTACGTGACGTCGCCGCCGTCCGCGCGCTGCTTGTAGACGCCGTGCAGCACGTGCTGGCTGGACGGGATAGACGAGCTGCTCCAGCGCGCTGCTGCTGCTGCTGGCTGCAGTGCGTTGCACGCGCGCGGAGCGGCCACGCGTCGAGCGGTCAGTCGCAGCATTGCTGGGGTGTGTGGAGGAAGGAGGTCCGCTGGCGCTGGGCGGAGGACGAGCGAGCTGCGGCCGAACTGAGACGTGCGGCTCTGCTGGCAAAATGCTCAATGCGTGTGGTGTTGCGTTCGCCCCGATGATGATGAAGCGTGGTCGTTTAACGGTTTCTTACGTTACTTAGGTATGTGACTTGATATCACATACCCTTCGTTAATCGATATATAGATGGAATAGCAAATATATGTATGCTGCACTGTGTAAATGCATCAGACGCAAAATCGGATATGTTTTTTCGCGAACAGCTCAGAGCCGATGTTGAAGTGGACGCTGATTGGCTGATTTCACGCGTGGGTGCCAGAGACAGGGACACTCTCGTCTAAGTACGACGTGCGCATGAGCGGTAGGCACAAACATCACCCGAAAGGACGAACAGCGCCGTGCTCAAGCTCTGTGTGTGTATGAGCGCTTGCCTTCACTGCGTACTGTATTGGATCTCTGTGGCAACTGACAACGAGTCGCCGACCTTCGAGTCCCAGTCGAGCGGCCTCGGAGTCTGCTTGTCCCGCGCCTGTTTTCCGGTGCGGTCGAGCGTGCCGACAGCAAACGAAAGATGCGTGCCACTTGACGACGATCTTGTGGCTCTCCGTCGCGTCGCGCGATGAGTTTAAGTCGGAGTCCCTTCACGGACGAGGAAGAGGAAACAGTCAAAACGCTCGGTCCGTGAGCGCCGCGTGACGGCTGGAGACGCCGCTCGTTCAACTTCTTCCTGCTGAGAGGAAGCGGCAGGGAGATACGATACACGGACGCAACAGAATTGCTCATAGTGAGAGAAGTGAAGGGGGAAATGTACATGGGGAGCCACTCGGGCTTAAAAAAGTAGGAAGCTGTAACTGTGGAGAATGGGGAGGGAAGAGAGGGAACACTAATACTAAATGGGACACGGAAGCTGTAAGACGGACTTCATCATCGCGAGTTCTGCTGCAATGTCCGCGCCAAGACGCACACTAAGATACCAAGGAAAACAGAGTCAAGCACAGCAACAAATATGCAAATCACCTGACTCGTACGTACCGTGGCGTAGTGCTCGAACGCACTCCTCTATTGCCGCCGTGTTCTTGGAGGCCTGCGCGCCCTTCTTGTAGACTACCACTAATGCATCATTGCCTTCTACGACGTTCACTTGTATGCAAGAGTTGCGTCCGCTTTGGATCGTCATGGAGCTTACCCCGTCGCCCGAGAAAGACACTGCAGCAACACGAACAGCCATTCGCGTAAGAGAGGGCTCGATGTCACAACTCTCAATCCTCACACGACGTACTCATATCGATCGAGCTGTTCACCAGCGCCTGCAAATTCGCCAGCACTCCGATCGGGTCTACGTCTCCTGTTGCACATGTTACAGCGCCGTCCACCACCAGCATCGCCTTCAGAATCCCGCGCTGCTTTTGCACTGCTCGGACCGCAAACACCCAGTCAAGCGTTTAGTTTTCAAGCCCGATAATTAAGCTGCCTCCAGCCCAAACACCACTCACATTTCCTGACAATCGGCTTGACCGACTCGCGAATAACGCTGAGGATTCTGTACTGGAAGCGGTGGAAGTCCCGCAAGTTGTGGCCCATATTGCCCAGCTCGTCCCCGTGCTGCGCGATGAAAGCCGCCAGCAGCTCCTGCGCTACGAACGCCGAGAAGCTCGCGCCGTCCGTCGTGTCGTGAAACATGGCGCAGAAAACCTTGTGCTTGACGTTGGTCACCACCGTCACGGCCACTGGAAGCAATCGGAACACAAGCATCACTGCGTCAATAACGTCCCCACCCCCACCTTCCTAGCTCCACAACTCCTCAACCACAGCGAATCAACGCACCAGAAGACATCTGGATGTACGACACGGGCGCCCCGCTCGCCTTGTTGGAGAACTCGAGCATCGCAGTGATCAGGGAGCCCACCAATCGCGGCTGAAGCGCAGACAGCAGCACACATGGACGCACATTTCGTGTCATAACTCAGCAACCACAGCGAAATAGAGCACGAGTTGCATGCATAGAGCGCCGAGACGATGGCGGAGACGGGTACCTGGGCGACGGCGTTCGCGTACTCCTTGGAGAAGAGCACGATGCCGCTGGACGCCATGATGAGCACATTGCGCAGCATGGTCTTTGACTTATGCCAGGGGGAGTCGGCGGCCACTGGGGCTCACTATGGCGTACCGCGCGCCATAGAAAACCCAAGTGAGCCCGAAAATTTCGAGCAGCATGAAGTTTCTGAACCTACAGAATCAGATCCTGGAGATCTGCTCGCAGCCCATTGGTCAGCAGTCTAGGAACCGCGCAGGACATGATGGCGCCGATGGAGCAGGGGATCTCGAGCGATGACGCCTCCCCGACGGTGATTCAGCGCCTCCTGACGGACGAGCAGATCCAGGAGTTCATGGACCGCGGCGTGCTGGTGGTGCCCAATGTCCTGACGCGCGAGGATGTGGCGGAGGCGCGGCGAGGCCTGCACGGCGAGTTGACCAAGTACGGAGTGGTGCGTTGCAGCTGGAGTTTGCATTGATATCAATGGTATTTTATTAATGTCTGAGATATTGCAGGACCATGACAACTTGGAGGAGACGGGTGACAACCTCAAGAAGCTGTCGAGTACGGGGGGAGCTGGCGGCATTCTGGACCTGTTCTATCCGTCGTGGAGGCTGAAGGTGGCGGAGCACGAGAGGGTTTTTGCAGCCATGACGGATCTGTGGGAGGCCACGTACGCGCACAACCATCCGGACTTCCAGCACCCATTCGGGGACTTTGACGGCAAGCGCGGGTACATGTACATCAACCGCGTGTGCTATCGTGTGCCCGACGCGATCTCCAAGAAGTTTGCGGCGAAGAAGTCACGACCGATGCAGCGCTCGCTGACGCCGCACTGGGACTGCTGTCCGACCAATATGTTCGACTCGGGCAAGGACACGCCGCGGTGGCGACCAATTCAGTGCATCACAGTGCTGACCGACAACACGGAGCGCAACACGGGCGGGTTTGAAGCGGTGCCAGGCTTCCACAAGGAGTTCGCGGAGTACGCGGCTAAGAACCAACCAGAAGCTGTAGCTGCAGCGCCGTTGACAGCTCCGTTGCGTCGTCCGCAGGTCTGTCTCGGTGATTTCTCGCCTCTGCGGATGCAGGAAGACCGCGCGGTGATCGACCGATACCAGCACATTGGCTGCACAGCCGGCAGCGTCATCTTTTTCGACTGGCGCATCCCTCACGCCAACAGCTACAAGCACGTCGGCACCATCCCACGCGAGGTCATCTACACGGGCTTCATCCCGGACACGCCCATGAACTGCGAATACGTACAAGAACAACTACGCCGCTACAAGTCGCGCCTCCTGCCTGCCGACCACTGGCAAAAAGACGACGTTGATGCTCGCGTGGCGGAAGACTACTCGGCCCACCACTTCTCCGCACTCGGGTCTCGCCTTATTGCGCTCCACCCGTGGTAACATTCAACATGGCTACGATTTCGGTGCTCGCACCTGGTGCTTAGAACCTAGGACACAACCTACAGACTTCCTACATTGTGTACAGCTGGTGTGCACTCTGCTTGTCAACTCGCCGCGAGTCATTCGTCGACAATGCTGCGCCGCACATGGTCGAGCGCCGCGGCCTCAGCGCTGCGACGACGGCCCCAGGCCCTTTCCACAGCCTCTAGAGGCTTCACTGCACTCTCAAGACCCATATCCTCCATCGCTGGGGCTTCTTATGCAGCTGCAAGCGCCGACAACAGCAAGAAGCACGTGGTCGTGGGGATGTCCGGCGGCGTGGACTCGTCTGTGGCCGCGTTGCTGCTCAAGCGCCAAGGGTACCGAGTAACGGGCGTCTACATGAAGAACTGGGACCCCAGCGACGAAGAAGGCGAGTCCGCGTGCCCCGTGGACGCAGAGTACCTGGACGTGCAGAAGGTCTGCGAGCAGCTCGGCATCGAGGCGCAAATGGTCAACTTGGTGCAGTCGTATTGGAACCAGGTGTTCGCGCCCTGTCTGGAGGGGTACGAGGAAGGGCTGACGCCCAACCCAGACATCCTCTGCAACCGCGAGATCAAGTTCAAGGCGTTCACGGAATACGCCAAGAAGATCGGCGCGGACTACGTGGCGACCGGTCATTATGCTGCGTTGCGACCTGCTAAAGAAGGCGGACCTCCGAACCTCTGCGCGGCGAAGGATGAGACGAAAGACCAGAGCTATTTCCTGTCGAGCGTGGACGGACGAGCGTTCGTGAACGTGCTGTTCCCGCTGGGCGACATGTGCAAGACGGAGGTGCGACGCATTGCAGCGAGCGAGGGTCTGTGCACTGCGGCCAAGAAGGACTCGGTGGGCATCTGCTTCATTGGCAAGCGGAACTTCGCGGACTTCATCCACCAGTACATCCAGCGTCAGGACGGGTACTTTTACTCGGTGGATGGTGAGAAGATGCACAGGCACCACGGTTTCACTGCGTACACAGTGGGCCAAGGCGCTCGACTTCAAGGTATGAGCGCCAAGTGGTTCGTTGTGGGCAAGCGCAAGCCCGACCACTCGGTGATCGTGGCCGAGGGCACTCGAAGCCCAGCTCTGTTCTCAGACGCGCTCTACGCTTCTGCTGCGCAGTTCAACTGGATGGCGGGCGATCTGCCCCAAGAGCTCCGTGAGACCGGAAGGATGCGCTGCTTCTACCGTGTACGCTACCGTCAAGATTTGGACGAGTGCACACTTTCGCTCGTGTCAAACCGCGAGGCTCGAGCAGGTGCGAGCAAGCTCCACGACTGGCAGCCGGAGCCACTGGCCAGTGATGAGGATGTTGCAGGTAAAGAGCGCGAAGAGAGAAGCTACTTGCAGGTTGAGTTCGACCGTCCCCAGCGCGGTGTCACGCCTGAGCAGGCACTTGTGTTGTATCGTGCTGATGGGCTTTGCTACGGCGGTGGACCCATCGCAGCGGCTGGCAAGACCTACTACGAGCAACAGAAGCCTTTGGCAGATAGCGTGCATGACTGGCATCGACAAGGATAGTCGCTCTGGTCTCTAAACTGTATACTACGCAGTAGTGTAGGGAAGATTGAGATTAATCGTAGTCATAGTCCTCCTCCCACTGCTCTCACTGCTCGCGAGGTTGGTACCTTCTTATTCTTAATCTTCTTCTTCTCGTCTTCATCGCTGTCGACGATCATTTTCCTTGATCAATGCTGCGAAGGTGGCGACTGTTTCCGTGCTGCTTGATCTTTTTCGTCGCTGCGAGGAACGCGTCCAACGGGGATACCGTCGTAGCGAGTCGACGGTGCGGCTCCGTCTCGGCGTGGACCGACGTCAAAGCGTCATAAGCGCCCCAACCAGCATCATTTTCATCTCTGGGAAGTTTGTTTGAGTTGTTCACTTGATTTGGCTGGATTCGAAGTGAATTGGCAAGGGGGCTGGCCTCATCAAGGTCAAGGTTCCGCAAAGGAAGAAAGAGAGCAAGGGGCGAACTCAAGGCTCTTCATTATTGACATTTACGAGCCGCTTCAAAGGCTGCAGGCACTGTTATCCCTCCCATTGCGTCCTTCGATCAGTTGCCTGCTGGCTCGTGCCCGGCGATCTTGGGCAGGCTGGCCGTCACGAACTTGTCTTGAGCCTCCTCGGCGCGACGCGTCGTCGGCTTGATCTGGCCGATCTGAAGTCGCCCTTCGTCCGCCTGAGCGCCCAAGAGCACGCAGAGGGCGGTCGCCAAGGTCAGCAGGAAGCTCGTGCGCATTGCGAGGCGCGGACGTTTTGCTGTTCGAGCACTTGTGCGGTGCGTCTCCACTTTCGAAATGAATGAGGCGCAGTTCACTGCGGCGGGATGCGATGGCTACATTCGTTGAAGTTGGTGATAGGTACACAATCGCATAGATGGGTTGAAGCGAGCGTTGGAAGGCGTTGAGTCTTTGTGGTATGATCTTACCAAGTGAAGGATTAAGGTGAAGGTTTTTGTGCTGGTTGTACATTACACTGCGTTAGGGTGCTCGTCCTGATCTCTCCTCCTACCCGACTGATCAGGGTCAGCGTGCGCTGCCGGCCTACTTGCCGGGAGCCGGATACTGCCTCGGGATCCTCTTGATGCTGTCGTCGAACAGCTTCAGCTCGCGGTCGGCGTTGGTGTCGTGTCCAGTCCGGAGTTAACGAGCGCCGTCGATCTCCGCGTTGACCGGCGCCAGAGCGAGCGCGATGCAGCTCAGCACTGTCAGAGCCAGACTTGTCTTCATTGTAATGTGTGAGGTGAGGTTGCGGTGGTTGTTGCCTGAGGTGGCAAAAGTGAAAGTGAACGAACGACCGCGGCAGCGCGCTGAGTTTCGCGATGGAGGAATTGTCGGTGAGGATCCAGTGCGCCATGGAGCGTGCTACGGATAAAAATGTACTTGGAGGGAATTTTTCATGGGTTGCGAATGAAGCCCAATTTGCGCTGCACTTGCTTTGCGTCAGTCTGCTTAGTTCGCCTCCATGCAGTTTTGGGGCGATTTTTTTCTGCTGCCAGGAAATGCGGCCGTCGTACCGCACACAGTCAGCCGGATATCCTTACATTTAGGTGAACTGGGAGCAATGGGTTCCGGCAGAACTACTTGTAGAGAGCACGAAATGATGAAATGCATTGATGGATTAATGAGACGTGTCAACGATCCTACATCGACGTCAAGGTTCGTTCATGTAGGGAGCACCGTGAAAAGCACCATTGAAGACTACCAATTTGCCCCACAGACATCGAGTGACTTACTTTTTGCCTCTGCGATCAGCCAGCAGACGCTCCTCTCCGTTGTCCATCGCTTCGAACCTCCGCTTCTCGTCTCCGAGCAACACATTCCAGCTCTCGCCAGCCGTCTTTTCAATCCCGTCCGAGGCAAGAATCCTCGCTACTTGTCCCTCTCGCTGCTGCTTCACCGCCTTATTCGCTGCGTTGTCCGTCCGAAGGAGACGACCCGGGACGACGTCCTCGTTCGCAAGAAAACTCGGGTATGGGATTCTAGGCACTTCTTGCTCATCCGCTAGGAAGTCCGGGTATGGCGTACGTGGCACCTCTTGCTCGTCGGCTAGGAAGTCCGGGTATGGAGTCCGAGGGACGGCTTCCTCGTTCGCTAGGAAGTCCAGGTACGGTGTACGGGGGACCGCTTCCTCGTCCGCTAGGAAGTCTGGGTATGGCGTGCGTGGCACTGCCTCCTCCGTCAAACCTTCCGCCTGAAGGAGGCGACCGCCTTTAGATGGTGGGGGAGGAGCGTCCTCCTCCGCCAACGCACCCGCCCAAAGACGGCGAGGCGGGGCGATGGTCAGTGCTGCCGTCAAAGTTGTCATCATTGCGGCAAACGCAACCACTTGAGCGATCTTCATCTTGAACCGAGTCACCTTCACGCGTGTGTTTGCTTGCCCGCTTGCTTACTTCTTGGCCAATTCACGAATGCAACACGAGCAGGAGTCATCGCAGAAATCTTTATTGGCTTGGCGCGATCTTCCTAGGGGCCGCGGGTGTCCGTTGCGAGTCGCCGCGACGAAATCTTTATAGGTTTCACGCGATCTTAGCCGCGATCTCAGCCGCACGTTGAACGGCAAAAGTCAAATCGCTGTATCCTCGAAAGGGAAATAGTAAAAACAAAACTATAAACCTCGATATCCTCCTCCAACTCTGTATTTTTTATGGCAGAGTTGGTGACAGCATCGATGGTCCTACGAGGTGCCGGATGACAGCTAGAGCAGTCCATCCAATGCTTACATTTTGCAAAAATAAACTTCTTATTCGTAGTGTGGATTCACATGTCAAACATGGGTTCGGATAATTCGTTACACAGTTGCATGGTCGGTGTATCCGCGGGAGTCAGAGTCATCCGCCTTAAACAACGAGAGGGACTCCTCAAACAAGCACTCCATCGTTTCCAAGCATCAAACTCGCGCTTGACCAGAGGCGAGGTCGATAGACGTAACGTACAAGTCGCACTCCCGTTTACTTAAGTAATGACGATACGGGGAAAGAGCTCACGTTTTAGATCCCGGATATGCAGTCGGAGCCACCATTTTCAGTCCACCGAAGCAAGGGCCATCGACCAAGTGGGCGCGACCGGCCATAATTAATTCATCCAACAACATTCAGTACGACCTGTACCAGGGAATTTTTTTTTCATTCTCTCACCGGCTACTTTCCATTTAGTGGGGATACATTGCATTCTCGACAGCTACATTGCATTTCGGACGGATTAATTTCATTTCGTCCATTTCATTTCGTACTCTCCTCATTGTCAATACAGTATTCAGTTAAGTTCATCAATAACATTAAAAAAAGTTTTAGGACCAACTATTGGGGACCCGGGTGGTGGACCCGGGGGGTTTCGCAGTTCGAAGCTAGCTTGTACGGATACCCTTAAAGGGAAACGATGTACTCGGGCATCCCCTGCGCCTGCTTCGCAGCCGCAGCATCTGCCTACCTGGTAATCTACCACGGTACAACCAAGTGTACAAAGTTTGATTGCTTATTTTCAAAGGCATTGCCAGTTCGTATACATGTATCGTCACTCCAACGAATTGGTACTTCAACGATTGGGTTTGACAAACCCACCGTGATGATTCTACCTCCTCCTGCTCGTCGAATGAGGGCTCCACGGATTTAGTTTTAACTTTAGTTCTTTGTAGTTAGTAGAACGGTTATCAACAGCGAGGTAATCAACGTAATTTCCTTCCTTCCTGCTACTGAAATGTGCGCTGATGCCCAGACAGAATCCTTTATTGTTTAGATTGCAGTGTTGTGCTCGGAAACTTACAGGTGACGATAAAACAAAAAAAACGTGCATTCGAATAATTAGCGCTGCCAGGATAACTGCTCAACCAAACTAGCAGGATAACCCGATGGAGCCAGCAATTTGTTTCAAGTTTGATGAGTTAAAACTGAGGTCTAGATTTCGATCGCGTGTAGGAGTAGGATACACCGGGTGTTCGTCCTTCGCTTTGACGATGTCCACCCGGTGCTTCCTCTCGCACAGGAAGCGCGGCGTACAGCAACAACGTAGGAGCATTCAAACTCTGTTTGATAAAACATGGTGCATATTTTGTCCAGGTCGCCTGAAGATCTAACAACAACAAAAAACTGTCAGCTTTGATTCGTCCAAGTGTGATATTGCCATTTATCAAGTACTAGGGCCCCGCGAAGGCTGGGATAGGAGGTTTTTGGGATAAACTCCTATATTACTTTTTCTTACGACCCACAGTCATCTGCCCGGTCATTCACCTCAACGGCCAAGATGCAAGATACGACTAGGCAGTAATTATACACAGTAATGAAACGAACCTCGCTCGAGATCTAGCTTGTGGAGAAATGAAAATGCTTGCATTTGTATGCTACTAAAGTCCTGTAGTAGTCCGTTCGATTCAATCATTCACTTTGCATCGCTCCATCCGATTCGGTATATGCTACTGACCCATACCGGTTCAAACTGCCCACGCTTTTGGAGGCCCAGTGCGGCACCGGGGTCATACCGGTTTCTGGAAATGTACCAGTTGGGTGTCAAGAGAGGTCATATTTTGACTTGACGTACCACGGCTATAATCCTATTTGGTCTGCGATAGCAGCACTAACGTTGCTTCCTATCGCAGTATTAATCTGAAGGTACTGTATGCATGCAGCAGTAGGATGATCTGAACTAATATCGGTAACAATGTACTTTGAACTTGTTTTGACAAGAACAGGATCATTCTACACCACCAGTTCGGTGGATCTCTGCGGGTCGTATTGTAGTCTCACACAAGACAAGCTTAAATCATCCTAGTCGTCATAGATAAATGCCTAAGCTAGTGCAGCTAGCCTTTAGCTTTTTTTCCGGAGAAGACGTACCACCAGATGCAGCTCTTTTTGAGTCTCCGCTGAATGAATTCGTTCGTCACCGTATAGGACGTCACCGCATTGCCGGTGGATAGAGTTGGGTTCGGATTAAAAAAAAATTGTTGAACGAAAAAAAATCGAGCTATACTTCTATCTTGGATCGCACAACCTAGGACTTTAAGTAGTTTTTTGCAATGTTTTAGTGGAATGTTTTATCTAATCCATCCGGATTAATTCCAGTGAGTGTGGGGATTCATACAATATCAGCCCGCCGACAGTTTATGTCACGGCAAACTCAGTTGACCACACGATTTTCAATATCTCTCTCTGAGAAACTATGCATGCAGAAGAAAATCTGTGTCTGAAAGAGGAGGATATAAGTTATGACTCATAACAGATCGAATCGATAATTTTACCGCTAATGGAATGAGTAAGTACTATGTTGAGAGCTTTGAAGCTGCATGTACAGTAGTATAATACGATCCAGTGATGTGGCGGCACCAGTTGTGTCCAAGGTTAGCATCATTAGCACCGATGCCTCATATTGATCGAAAGAATACAATGCTTGCTAGTACACAATGCATTGTTCGTCGTAGTAGTCCGCTAATGCACAATACGTTGTTCGTCGTAATAGTAGATGGAGCCCCACTTCCTCTGATGGCATCTGACATCAATCTACAGTAGAAGGAAAAAAAAAGAATAGGCATCCATCAAAACCTGTAAGTGTCATTCAGACCGATTCGATCGATTGCTGTATGATGTTGTGTGAATGTTGTTTGATGTCATCCGCACAGGGGTGAAGTGACGAATGTAGCGTGAATGTCGTTCGATGTCATCCAAAAACCTTCCCCAATCGACAGTTCTTCGAACTGCGAATTTTTATCCAAAAAATAGGACCTTGCAATCAAATTAAAGCACCTTACAGCTTGCTATTTATTACTTAAGTATGTAAAATGATTTAATATAGAAGCGGTTGTGTGAAGCATCGTCTACGCCTGCAACAAATAATACTATTGTTGTTGTTGCAGAAACATCATGCATGATATCTGAGGCGACGCAAAACACTACCGGTCTTAACACATAAGTACGCTAAGTAATTTTACTAAACGAGGTTACCCGTAGTGAGTATCTGTGGAGGGACGTTTCTGGTTTTACCAAATTTACCTCAAACACCCATAACCCCAGCTGGGCACTTTGCTAGGACAAACAAGGAAAATGGTAGGACAAAACCGTTATTTACCGCAGTTAAGTATACTGTATCATAAGTTTTGTCCTAGCGGTCCGTCTAGGACAAAATTGGTGATACACTATACTTAAATAAAGTAAAAAACGATATGTCTTCACGATTGTCCTAGCAAGAGGGGCGACTGGGGATAAGCTTCTATGGTATTTGTAGCTCAACCAGCATAAACAAACAGGTACTTGCTTTACTACTGCGAGGAGATGTTTTTTTATTGAAGAACACGAGATAATATTGGGGTGAAATACATTGGACGCGCAGCGGTACTCGAAAGAACTCCTATCTCAGCAAGCCTAGACGATGGCTCTTGCTTATAAAAATCGGACTGAAGTGACGTAAATGATCCGGTTTTGGAGGAGTACAGGTAGTCCTATTTTGTGATTATAATTTACATACTACAACGACCTCGTCTGAGCGGGTTCCAACGTGAGGAGTACGACCCCTTCGCGTTAGTCGTTGCCCTGATATGTTGTCACTTGGACTAGCACCTGAACTATACTTGTAAGCACGCATCGTCGAATTATTCTCATGGCATCAGAAACAGTGAGCTATTAAATCACGAGTTTTTCTGTAAGCCCTCGTGAGCTCCTATGCCTACGACGTTAGTCTTTGCTCTGGGTCGAGTAATACATACGTATAATGGACACGTTTAGGTTTGATAGTGGCGGAAAGCCGTACGCCCCGCATTTACAAGAATAATGGCGCCACCTACTACCACTGTTGCTAAGCAGGCAAGGTGTGAATCTGTGCGGAGCCTTTCTACGCGTGGTAGCTGCATGGAATGGCAGCCAAAAGGTGTAGTTAAAGGATGATGTGTGTGTGTGTGCAGATGAATGAATGGTTCGATTACCGATTTAATGTCCTTCTCGATTTGGACAGATACTATGTACTGGTACTAGTCGTACTAGATAATGAAAATAAAACTAATCCACCACTGTGCGAAACAACACGCCGGTGCGGTATGTGAGTCGAAGTTGTACATGTCGTGTGCGAAAGTTGGTTGCATTCCTTTGGATGAACTCGCCTAAGTGCTTGGACTGCCGTAATTGTCGCAGAACACGTTCGTATTCTTTACGAATGTCGGGGCTGGAAATCCGGAGTAGTCTGCGGTAGTGGCAGCAAAATGCTGAATGAATGCTTGAAATTGCCGTGGGCATGGGGTCCGGTTCTCCGTCCTCGAAGCAGATGTAGTTCCGATCTGTCCACTGGTGGTGAAGTGTAGCGCAACGAAGCACATTCCACAGGCGCAGA